CTGTTAAACTCATATCCTAATAAGTATTCCAAATCCTTATTTACCTTACCTTTTTTGTTTAAATATGATATTAATTCCTTTCTTTCTTCATCATACCTTGTACAATTATATATTACATGCTCCACTGTTTCTTTCTCCCCACAATTCCCACATAGACCAGTCTCATGTATTCCAGTTATGAACAGTGAAGCGTTCAATCTGTTGAACACTACTCTGTCTGGTCTTACTTCCTCTACCCATGTTAGTCCTATTATGATAGCAACCATTTCAACGGTATATATTGACAATTTAGATGTTAATTGTTTAGTTATGGATATTTTAAAATCTGGAATATATATTCCTACTCCTGTAAGCCCTGTTTTGGGGTCTTTAGATCCATCAGTATAAATGTGCATACTTGCATAAAATCTTTCCTGTATATACTTATTTACATTATATTTAATACTACCCATTTCCTCCCATTCTCTTTTCTTATCCAATATCTCTAGATCAATTTTAACATCAGGAATTATCCATGTTGGTACCTCTCCCCATACAGGTGACACACTACATTCTATATTTGTTATCTGATATTTCTCTGCTAACTGATTTATATTCCATCCATATCCTCTCCCTTTCCTATTTTGAATATTCCCAGCAATTATTTAAAATATATTTAGCTATAAGTTTTCCAGAATAACTCTTTAAAGACAACCAATATACCAAAGACAATTGAACTCTCCTCAAGCTCAATGGCATTTCATTTGCCTCTACTACATTTAAAATCCTCCTGCATTTTTTATCTATTTCCTCAACATGCTTTTTCCAGGTATATCTCGCATCTAACCAAATTCCTAGATACTTAAAAACCTTTACTTGTTCTAAAGGTTTTCCATACAATAGTAGTTCAATATCTTTAGAAACTTCTTTTTTCCTACTGACCAACATATAACATGATTTATTTGTTGACATTTTAAAACTCCATTCTATACTCCATTTTTCCACCTTTTTAATAGCTGTTTGCATACTTGAAATCACTTGGGGTACATTTCGACCTCTCTTCCAAATAGCACCATCATCAGCATATAACGCACATCCCACACCATATCCTAAATTGTCAAAAATATCATTAATCATAATGTTAAAAAGAATTGGACTTATTACACTCCCTTGTGGAATACCATTTTCTGCCTTAAAAACTGATGACTGACACACTCCTACTTGTACTATAAATGTTCGTTCAAATAAAAACTCAGATAACCAATTATACATTTTACCGTCTATTCCTATCCTTGTTGCTTTAATTAACAACCCTTCTCTCCATATTGTGTCGTACGCTTTTTCTATATCAAAATATACTACTGCCATAATTTCTTTGTGCTGTTATCTCTGCCTACTGGAGACTTTTTCAGGCTTCTGATTGGCCACCATGGCTTTACGGTTGAGATTATATCGCCACCTGTTGGTTTGGAATGCTCTTGACAGTGCTTCATAGCATGCTTTCGAGTTTTCATGTGGACGGAGATTTTTTTAACAATGGAAGAAGGAAAAAAAAATACCTGTGTACGTGTGGACATGGCCTTAAGCACACCCCTCGAGGCTCATAATTTTAGTACTTCAGCTATTTAACAACAAAGGATTATTAATGAATAACACAGAATTTCTTTTAGAATTCAAGATACCAGTTACCCCTAAATATTTTCCTATAGATATGGTAGCAATTCCAACAGGAATCTGCATGCTTTTTAAAAATTGTGTTTATTCTCCTCCTACAATTACTTATTTTCCTGAGCCAAATGAAACCTCAATAGGTAAAATATGTTTAAAAAAAAAAAAAAATAGAAATAATAAAGTTAGAAATAATGAAGTTAGATCTATTTTTCTATTTCTGCATCTCCTGCAATCTATTACTGCAATAATTTATTTAAAAATTAAAATGTAAAAATATTTTGTCCTTACAACTAAATATTTTCTTACTAATAAAAATAAGTGCCTTTTAAAATAATAAATCAAATTTACCCTGTTAAATATTTTATTTATATTTAATATTGATACAATATGCTCATTTTGCCATGTTCACACAGAAACAGTCATTCATTTATTTTAGTTATGTTTTTATACTGAACAACTATTGAAAAATAATGGCACATTTATTAAAGAGAATATCCTACAAGATATATCCTTAACCCTTAAAGACATTATTTTCAGACACTTTGATTCTGATCCTACAACAACAAAGCTTGCTTTATTATAAATGTAATTTATTTTATTGGCAAATTTTATATCCATAAATGTTCACTAACAACAAACCAATTTTTTTTTTTTTTTTTTAAAGAGTTTAAAATGTATCTTAATACTAACCCTTAAAGACATTATTTTCAGACACTTTGATTCTGATCCTACAACAACAAAGCTTGCTTTATTATAAATGTAATTTATTTTATTGGCAAATTTTATATCCATAAATGTTCCCTAACAACAAACCAATTTTTTTTTTTTTTTTTTTAAAGAGTTTAAAATGTATCTTAATACTTTTTCATCCTCAGTAAATAAGAAAGAAAGGAGAACAACTTTAATTGTAATTTATACAGTCTAATTGATGTATAAATTAAAGGTGCACTAAGTGATTTTTGCCAAACGATGTTGATATTTGAAAGCCCCAAAACAAATATGCCCATACCCCAACAGGACCTCCCCTATTTTGATAACTCCGCCCCACACGTACGTACTGTAGGAACTCCTTTGAACAGAACAGCACATTCCTTAAGCAGAAGCTAAGGAGTCTCCTCTCAACCTATCGTAAAACTGAACCGTGGTCAGCTCAGACCCCTGCATCTGGACTCATTTAAGCAACAGAACTTCAGTGTTGTCTCATGACTGGCTTCAGCATAAATAAAAATCTAATAAACAACAGAACATAAGACAACATAAGAACGTTGTATCTGGAAATGTTCCAGCGACGGACACTCCTGGACCCCATGACCGCTTAACGCATAAATCGATAATCCGATAAACAGAAAGCGACAGATTTATGGCTCCATGTCCGAGCGAGAAGAATAGCAGGTCTACACCGCATGATTTTTTGCAACCTCAACCTCTGACTGAGACCATCCAAGGACCAGATGTGCAGTGTAACTTTGACCAGCTTCAGCATAAATCGATAATCCAATAAACAAGAAAGATAGATTTACAGCTCCATCGTCTGAGCGGGAAGATCAGCAGAACTACACCGC